GACAAAACTAACCTGCACAATATTTCTTTTAAATTGAAATAGGGCCTCTATGCAAATGCCATTTATTTTTTTGTTCAAAGGAAGTCAAAACAACCTTGAGTAGTAGTTTCGGTAGGATGCGAGTGATAACCTGTGATGTACTTGATGTTTTAAAATTTATTATACTAGAATTATATAAGCTGTCATAATAAGCTTAATAAAATGAAGAATTGATTTGAGGGTAACATGTTCCTTTAAAGGGGCCCTGCAGCACTTCTTCAAGTAGCCATGGAGCCAGTAAACATGCTTGTTGCCTTAATTTACTGCAGCAAAGTTTCTAGAATCAGTCCAGTATGAGCAGAGTTCCAAAAATTGGCACACTCTGCAATTGCATTCTCTCTTCTTGACTTGACGAAATAGCTGGAAGCTAAGCAGGGAAGAATGGCACGGCGAAAGAATTAAAATACTCCACACGCACCTCATGACCTTGCGCACCTCTTCTTTTTCTTCGAATACGCGGCTTTTTAGTGCGAGCGCACACGTACTTGTGGACAAGCGCCCCATGCTCAAATCATCCAATGCCTGTGACCAGAGCCATATATTTCTTCTAGGTTGTGACAAGTGATTGTTGAGCTTCCAGTGTCACTTCCCGAGGAAAAAAAGCAGTTTTTAGCTTTGAAATTTTATTGTGAATTACAGGCCATGTACTGCGCTACAATATTTGCCTCACGTGTTTTCGGTAGCCTCGACTACCGATGGCAGAATTTTCTGACCATGTTCAGTTATTGTTGCAAGGCCCCTTTAATTTGAAGGAAGGCTTCACGGCAAAGCAAATATTCTTTAAGTAGATGTTTTCACTGTTTAGCACTCCTAAATTGCAGTAAAACCACCTTTACCAGCGGTAACCTGTGAATTATTATACTATTTTTATTCGTCCATTGCGAATACTTCGAAACTATCAATATTCGAATTGAAATATCAATATTCGAATTGAAGCGAGTTCGAATACTCAACTATTCATTCGAATATTCGAAGCATTCGAATATTCGCACAGGCCTAGTAAACACACACAGACAGTGCAGACTGCGCCACGCTCACGGTTCTAACATGGTAGTATGCACACAACGGCCAACAGATGGCAGCAATTTTGCATAAGGTCTATACAAACTGATTCGAAATGCATGTTTGTTCTCTGTCTTTGGTTATTTTTATCATGAACTCTATGTTCATTTCAGGTGGGTGGAGGTGTACTGTGTTGTCAATTTTTGTACTCCTAAGTTTACCCGCAATTCTCAGTCTTTTTGCTATTGATTTTTGTTTTGAATATAAACTATTGTAAAACAGTTGCTGTATTGTTGCTCTTCAATGCGCTTTATTATTTTGTTCCATATTCTAGGTGCACATTTGCCTTGTAAATACACATGAAGCTATCCAGAACAAGAACACCATACTGTTTTCATTTGCATTTTTGTTTATGCAGGAAGCAAAATGTTTTGCAGCGTACTTTGCCAGTATTTTGTTAGACAAATTACAGATGGTCCAATGGAGAATATCTGTATTTTTCAGGAACATTTCATGGGCGATTAGTTCGAGCCAGTCATTCCTGAGAGAACTGGCCACAAAAAGCTCAAGTCCAATGTGGTTCCCTCCCTGTGTAGTTGATTGATTGATATGTAGGGTTTAATGTCCCAAAACCACTTGATTGTGAGAGACACACACACACATCGTGCAAGCAATGTGATAAAAAGAATCTCAGATGATTCAGAGAGTTGTGACGCAGGCATGCGCGGATTGTGATGTGTGATTGGTGCTACTAACAGTACTGAACCTCGAATTCGGGTCATAGTAAAAGAAAAGTATGTGTGTCAATATCGCTTCACAAATACGTTTACGTTGACTTGTGCATTATGTGATTCTTCGTGAAGACAGTAAACAGTAATATTAACGCATATGACGTGTTTGTAACACCTTGTTCACAAGTGCAGGCGCTTACAACGTATGTCGTGGTGCACTTTTTTGCTAGCCTTAGATAACGCACTGATGCATGTAATGTTGCAGATATACATACAAGAATCAACACTGCAGACTGTATAGTTGCATTTTGTAAAATACTAAATACGGTAAAGGTAGAGGTGCCACAGCAATAAAGGTAAATGTAAGTAAAACATACACAAAAGCAAACTAAACGAAATAAACTAAGAAGTGTTCATTAAAAAATATCTTTGTCGTCAACAACACATCTTCTGCACACTCCTTTTGTTTTTGTTTGCTAATTGATGTATGCAACTACTGAAGAGCCAATCGCTGAAGCATTTCAATGTATACACTGCTAACTACACATATTGACCAGCCATGTAGCTTTGCAGCACTTCTAAGTTCAAGGACAGCCACAGTGGTTGCATTTCTATTGGGGAAAACACAAGACACCTGTGTGCTTACATTTATGTGCTTTTTAGAAAAACCAAAGGTGGTTGAAAATAACTAGGAGTCTTCTACTAGGACGAGTCTCGTAATCGTACTGTAGTTTTGCCATGTGAAATCTTCCCTGCCGCGGTGGTCTAGTGGCTAAGGTACTCTGCTGCTGACCCGCAAATCGCGGGTTCGAATCCCGGCTGCGGCAGCTGCATTTTCGATGGAGGCGAAAATGCTGTAGGCCCGTGTGCTCAGATTTGGGTGCACGTTACAGAATCCCAGGTTGTCAAAATATTCGCAGCCCTCTGCTATGGCGTCTCTCGTAATCGTATGGTGGTTTTGTGGCGTTAAATCCCACATATCAATGAATCAAATCAGCATGTGAAATGCACAGTAATTATTATTATTATGCTAATTATACAAAGGGCAAAAGAAGGAAAGAAAGACAACGGAGCAATAGTGAAGTGTAAAGGGGAACTTTAGGGTCAATTAGTGAAATTGTGGCCTGTAATTGAACTATTTAAGGGAGCCAAAGCTTCTACAGTGGGACTCTATACAGTACTGGTGATTTAGGACCTAACATTTCTAATTTAATTTGTCAATTCTCTTGTTGCATTGGCACTTTTTCTTGATCCTCTGTCTGTGTTTTTGTTGATAAATGGTATGTTCCGAATAAGCCTTTTGCTGCAAAACATGTTTACAAAAGTGTTATTGCGGCCTGGTGAGCGGAAGGTCAGGCTTCCTTGGCATCACCTCAGCGAGATGCCTGCATACATTGGTGCAACGTATACTGAAGTGGACTTCTTGTACGAAGTAGCTGTCTAATTCCTTTGTGTAGCATATGCACTCTTCAGTGGCTGTTGAAATGACACTGAAGAGGTGCTCCGGAACACTGGCTTTCTTGGGGAATGCAAAGAATTGATTTTTGCCTGAAAGAGGTCCCCTATCTTTGTCTAATAATGTGTCATGGCATGTGCAGTCAGTATGTCTCAAATTAAGAAAGTCCTTTGCAAGGGTTCCAGTGACACGATATATGACATTCTCATATATCATGTCATTGGATTGTTGTGAAGGTGCCTGCGCTTGGTAACAATAAGTCATGCTGTGTGCTCTGGCAGACAGTAGGTGTGCTGCTTAGTGACACAAATGCCGTACCCACCTCGATGTTGATGAGAACGCATTTGTTGTCGCTTCGCAGTTTCGCTGCGGAGATAGTTGGAAAAGCTTCCAATCCAAATATGTTTAAGGCTGCTGTGAATTGATAACACTGGCTGCTTCGTTGCAACCATGCTTTTGACGAACGGGTGCAAAGAAGTTTTCCAATGGGTTATGTTGCAAGTGTCGTGTAAGCAGAAGCCGAATTTTTTTTAGATCTTGCCACAGCAGAAGCAGGGCTTTCATTGTGATTCGCCATTTCTTGATCGTGTGTGGCTGTTTGTCCTGAGGCCCACAGAGGTGCCAGCCAGCATCCAAGTTATACACTGCTTAAGGAAGGTGTGGTGTTCAGAGCCATGTGACATGGCATGCCTCAATTCGTTGTCCAGTTTTTTCACTGCTGAACTGTTGAGGCTGTCAAAAAGCTTGTCCATTCTCTCTATGAATTCTTCTGTAGCTTTGCATCTATGGGAAGCTCTCCATGTCCATGGAGTGAGTAATGAAACAGAACAGATTCGCTGAAAACCTGAGTTGCAAACTTCACTCTCATGTCAGCGAAGGGCATCCTGTAGATGTGTTGCTACCAGAGTTTTTTTGCCAATCTACTCTTCAAATGTTTCGTATATTTGTTGGGTGCCAGATGTGTGTGACGTGTTTTTTTGTAGCAGATTTAAATGTGTTTCCAGTCTACAATCTGTGATCCAATTGTAAGTTTTAGTCTCCTCAAATTGTTTCGTGTGCATTTGATCATGTGTGTGGTGTCAAACATGAAGTATACTTTTCTCTTGTTGACCATAAAAAGGATTCATGTAAAGAATGGAGAAGCATTTTCAACAGACTCACATTGTTTGAGGCCTGATCACAGATCACAGCTTTTACCAAGTGACCTTTGTTTCAAGCTGTTGAATTAGGTCGAGCAAAGCTGTCGCATTGCAAGGGCTGTAGCTTCATTGTGAGACACGGCAAAGGCCACTGGCTGCATCTAACCTTTCGATATACCACACACAGCTACAGCAAGTGCTGTGTTTGCCACACGAGAAGTTCTGCTATTTCCATCATCTGTAAACCAATCGCAATGTCCTTGGACCAGTCTTACATCAAATTTTGTTTCAAGGCTCAAACATCACACAGCATGGCCCTGTCTTGAACTGACCAATCTTTGTTATCGACTGAATTGTGTCTATGGCAATAAATAAAAATAAGTTCAGACCAAATTGTTTCGTTTTTTTTTACCATTGCTTTTTGAATTTTGGGAAAAAGCAGAGTCGAGTTGAACTATCACCAATTCAAAAAGGTCTCTTGGTACATGGGCCTCAATTCTGTTTCAGTTCCTCAATACAGGTGACATTTTTTGCTTGACGTTTGCGTCGGATTCGTGCCAATGCTGTTCGGTACTTGTTACGACGGGTGACAAGGTTGGGCATTCATTGTTTTTTTTCTTGGGGTGTATGCAGAGGCTTGTTTTCTACGGGCTGGCTTCGGTGTTTGTGTTCCTGCTGTGGGCCCCTCCGACTGTCTTGCAGTGGCCTCTTTATGCGCTGAAGGCACTGTGGAAGGACCACTACGACCAGCAGGAGCTAAAAAAGCAAGATTAGTTTTCTTGGTGCGATTGAATACATGCCACATGCAAACCAGAAAAATCATCTTGTATTACTTGTGGGTCAGGAATAAAGAAATTTACGTGCAAGCTAACTTTCTTTATTCGCAAGCACCATACAGAGCCATTCGCAAGTAGTTGTGCTTCGTCTGTTGCCTTTTTTTTTTTTTCGCCTATGTGGCTTTCTTAGCTTACATAGCATTTTCTAAGTGAAGTTTTACGATATGGATTAATGACTCTTTGCTTTACCGTTACATATGACCTGTATGATTGCTTAGTTACACTTCAACACAAAAATTAATGCTTGCCCAAAATCACCGGTGCTCGCAAAATATTTTTTTTTCAATACTTACATCTTTGCATACAATTACTTATATTGAAGTCCTGAAGTGTTAAGAGTAAGCTTAAAGCATGAAAGCATGGCAGTAGGCATGCCACCATATTGTGGCTGCCCGACTCAACTGTGTGGAATAGTTTTTGACATTTACGGTAATTTGTGTTCTGGCATCTTTCAAACTGCGGTACTAAAGCTATGGTGATACAATGCGACATTTAGTGAATATGCTTACACGTATCTGGAGCCTGAGTAGCTTTGGGGTCTGCGCCAAAGCTGTGGACACGTGGGTGTGATCAGCGGTGTGGCTGGTGAGGCAGGTGGTGTCAATGCAAGGGAGAGGCTATCCTCTGAAAGTTCTGAAAATAAAAACAGTATTACATAAGCAGGAGGTGTTGGCCACAATGTTGTGTGTGTCCAAAAAATAAACTTTTTAAACAAACTCCCCATTTCCGTTTCTCGTGATGAGCTGTTTAATGCAACTTATGCTGTCGTGTGTGCTTTTTGCCCATCACAACTTGTAGTCATGCTGTCGGACATTTAAGCGTGGTAATGGTGGCTGAAGCAAAGCACAGGCACATAAACCTCGATAGTTAAGATATTCTGCGTAACGAGATCACAAGAGCAGTGGAAAACTTACCAGATGAGAAGTAGTCATTCCAGATAACTGGATGGCTGTGCATAACACTCAAAGGAAAAATGCTTCATGTTCAGTAAGAGTGACAATACGGCAGCATTACAAAAACACATGACAATCTTGAATATGTAAATGAGTAACCAGCACCTTGTTTAATGAGAAGCCTTTCTAAAAAGTTAGTCAAGGACCGTACCTAAGTTCAGTCTTAAAAAGTTGGGTTCTTTATGCTATGGTACATTATAGTACAGCGTTTTATGGGTGTTTACCATAAGCTTGGTATGGACAAATACCGAAGCTGTCGCCTTGATATCAGAAAAGATCTGTAGCATTTATTACTGCCCGTCTTGACCTGGCACCTGCTTTCTTGCGCTATACATATGCCAATTTCAATTGAAGCTTACATGTTGCCCTGACTGTTCATGAACACAGAACAGAATATGAACACACATTCTGTTCTGTGTTCATGTTCGGTCTGTCCTCACATTTGTCTACTTGTTGTCTTAAGTATACCTAACTGGGTTTCAAATCATTTGATAATGACCCTTCTGGATGTTTCTTATGCATTTCCCAATGTTTCTTGTTGCACATTAGCTGCGTTAGCCTCTATGTATGTAGAAATAACAATGTGAACATGTAGTGGCACCTGTGGGCAGTAACTGTATCACCGAAAAACACTATTGACATTGATGAACAAGGTTGATTGGCAATCAAATCTGAAGAAATGAAATTCAAAAACATAGCCATCCTACATACCTGCTGAATTCATCCGTCCTGCTCCTACTGCTGCTGTTTGGCAATAGTCTGCAACATGATTATGTAGTGTTAAGTACTTGCAAAATCACTGGACAAGGCAATGAGGATTCATTTATTAAGAATAAGTGCATGCAATATTTACATTGCACATATCGTAGATGCTTACCATGTTAGAGGAGGTAGTGGTGTGCTAGTATGTCTGTGAAGAGAAAAAAAAAATAAATTGCAACTAACTGCTCCAACATGTAGGCAAGTATATTAATGAATAATGCATACAAATGTATTCATGATGCATATCATTTATTCATGCAATACATATTTTGCTGTTGTGTATATTTGGCCGGCACGTTGTGATTAGAATAAGCGTCACTTTGTTACGTATGTGCCTTATTTTGCGTCGTAGAACTTTCCAAGTCTGAAGAAAAAAAGGAACAGAGAAATTTCAGTTGGTACATCATGAAAATATTGGACAGTGAGCTGTAAACGTAAGTGGACAAGCACATACATGCAAATGTAAACTAAGAGAGCTGATTTTCATTTGAATCATTTTTAGCATTGTCAGCATTATCATATCACTTTGAGCATCATTATTGGAGTGGTTGGTTTGTGGGTCAAGCACTGTTGCTTGTCCCGAGAGACTAGATTAGCACGCTGTGGGTCCCTTTATTTCGTTTCATTTTTTTTTTATTTATTCACATCCCCCTGCAGAATCTTGACCTGGATAGCATCTACTACTACTGTGTCGATGACAGGGGTACATTAAGACACCTCGTTGTAAAAATTTGGGAACAGGTAGTCACTCAACTACCCCAAACACATTTTAAGGAGAGAGCTTTAGATACCGCATCAAACGCCAAAAGCTGCTGTAGTCGTCAACAAGAAGTGTGTCAACGTTATCATGATGTAACGGATTGTCAAACTGTCACTGCATCGCATATTGTTTCTTGGTCAAGATGCAGCTATATCGAAGTCATTGAAAAACTATGTGAGGTGCAGAAAGCCTTCGAATGGCAGTGAAAGGAATCGTTATAACTGAGTGAGAAGAACGATGTGACCTTGCTCTTCGTGTTGTCGTGGACAAATGCATGCGCAAATGCTGTAACACATGCCAGTTTATGATGATGGTAAAAACAAGCTGGACCCTTTACGGCCACCTTTCATATCCTCGGAGATAAAAAAGTAAAGGTACCTTTGCACTAGTGATACGAAGCATGGAACAGGGTGGCATTTTTTGTTTCTCTTTCGCGATTGTGTTAAGAAGCTCGTATAGTAAAAAATCCCGTGTCAGCGTCCTTGGTTGTGAGCGAAAAATTATCTGC